ACCCAATTCATTGGCCAGTCCATGAATTTTAACTTCTACCAATTCGTGATTTAGCGCGACCCCAACCATTGTCGTGACCAGTGAGGTCCAATTAGATGTCACGTGTGTGGATGGATTTCCCACCAACGACAATGGTTGGGGTCGCGCTAAATCACGAATTGGTAGAAGTTAGAATTCATGAGTCGTTGAAACGGGTACCAGTGGCTGAATGGTATACGAGCTTGCCTTGTAACCGGAAGGTCCTGGGTTCGAAACCCAGTGGGTGCGTACTGCCGATGATTCCCAAACTAGGATGAAACAGCAGCTGTCCAGTACTCCCTGGTTTTCAATGGTTCTCTAACTGATATCAATCCGTGATCAACTCGTAAATCATATGATTATCACTGATGTCGGATTTGTTGTGCAATAGACAAATAAGGTACAAAATAGTGACCTCGTTTGTATGCACCATAATGTATGTGTTGTACTATTCGTCTTACTTTTAGCCTTACTCTTCACATTCTGTTGTCAGTTATTTCAAGGAAGCTGTTGTTAAACTGTCAGATTACTTGTTCCCTCTTCCTCTTGCTCATTTTTCTCCTTAATTTTCATGCTGACCTCTAAGCTCTTTCTGTTTACGAGCAAGTCAGCAGTAATGTGGATACAATTTTATTACTTTGCATGGAGGATTTAATCATGAGCTGACATCAATTTTATTAACTATTAAAATTATCATTTTTCTAATCTCTCAAGTTTAAGCAACACTGGTAAATATAATATAACTGGGATACTTTAAGTGACCAAAATTTTGAATAATCAGGTTTACAACGTTACGATTGGAACCTACACCCAAAGTTGGAAGCTTCTCATATACTTAAACTTATAAACATTTTCAAGTATTGGTTTGTATGGATTTTGTTTGATTGGTTGGAGGATTTCGTGATGAGCTGACAGCTCAGACAAAATCCCTACAAACCAACACTTGAAAATTGATCTGATGTTCACTACCGAATGGCCCTATTCAGGCAGTTACCTGGGGTTCTGGTGGGAAACCGTGACCAGTAGGATACAGCATGTCGGGTGTGAGGACAATACTCGCCGAAGACATTTCTAAATGGCCGCGCTATATGGTGAATTGGCAGAAGTTAGAATTCATGGGCTGGTCATTGGACTGGGTCCCATTGGCTTAACGGTCTACGAGCTAGCTCGCCTTGTAACCAGAAGGTTCTGGGTTAGAAACCCTGGCGGTGGGTGCATAGTGATGAAGAGTGCCAAACTAGGACGAAACAGCTGTCCAATACTCCCTTCAGGTTTTCCAGTGGTTCCCTAACCGATGTCGGCCCATGATGATATTTTCCGACCTATAAAAATGATGATAGTGATTTGGAAAAAGCATATTTGTATTCGAATCATTGCTGGAAAATAAATTTTGACAGCCCAAAAAATTTTATAACATTTATGAAAACCATTAAGTGAACTGATGATCTTTTAATTTCACCTTGTTAACAGAAAACAAGAATTGTATGACAGTATTATTTCATAGCAGCTAATCATGAACTAGTAGAATTTGACCTACAACTATACAAACACTACAAACTGTTGACTTCACCGATATGATTGATATTTTTAAACCAGAACAAGTTAACGAGCTACCTGGTTGACACTCATTCCTGAGTATTTCTTTCATCTATTTATCCATTTACCTCCCATTCATCTTATCATACATTTAATTAATTTCATTTTGGGTTACTAATTAGCTCATCAATTCATATGATGACGTGGCTAATAAGGTCAAGTCAATTAACTAATTCATATGACCCTACATTAATTAGAAAAACTGATTACGTCATCATGCAGATAAAATGTGCATTATATAACCTTATTTACAAGGTGAGTGAAAACAAATAAGTCAATAGTCATCAATACAATTATTTGTCGTTCTAGTAATAAAACAGTCATCCGCTTAGAAGGGGTGAAAGCAAATAGTGAATACAAAACAGTCATATTTTGATATGGTTTACGTCATGAAATAAGGTCATAAGTAAAATTTTAGTAAGACACGGTGATTCCAGGTTTTCTGGTATTTATCATTTCAGTAAATGACAGTTGTTACCTAGGTCACATTAGATATTTCACATGATGAGAAATTAAATTAAATTAACCTATTTATAGATTACTTACCAAGCTAATACCTTTAATGTAAACTATGTTTACTAAAATAGTGTTTGACGAACTGAAACCAAGGTTATGTGTAACCCATCAGATTTTAACGTGGTTTATCATTTTATTACAGGCATAGAAAGGAGTCGTGTTTAAATGAGGATAACCTAAAACGAATAGATCAATGAAATGCGTAAATGTCTACAAGGAATACATCATGGAAACGCTTTACATCAGACTGATTACAGTAATTTCTTTTATATGATCACATCATTATTAAGTATTGGTTAGCAAGGATTTGATTGGTTGCAAGTTTTATCAAGAGTTGACATCAATCAGAGAACCTATGGAAAACCTGGGAGTACTGTACAACCGTTTCGTCCTAGTTTGACACTCTTCAGTAGTAGTAAACACCCAGTGGAGTCCGAACTCAGGACCTTCCTGTTTCAATGCGAGCTTGTAGACCATCTAGCCGCCGAGACCCGATCCAATGGCCTGCCGATGAATTCCAACCTCTGCCAATTTGTGATACATATAGCTCAATCTCCAATATATATATGAAGAGAAAGAGAGTTGAATACAATGCAGATAAGGATCTAACTGAAAATTAAGCATTTCTTCTATCAGCCCTTTTGTCTACTAACTGTATAAATGGGTATTTTCGCCACAGTGAAATTAAACAGTAATTCCAAACACGAAATGAAAATAAATATAATTCATCCTTTAATATTTATAGTAATAAATAATAATAAATATAATCAATTCCGAATTATAGTGAAACAACTGCCCACTACTCCTTGTATTTCAATACCCTTTTAACAAATTTACAATCTCACAAAGCACATTTTATTCCACTTTTGTATTATTATCACCTTAAGGCTGATACACAGGATAATCTTCATATTTCTCAATGAAAGAATAACGTCCTCAAAGACTTTAATTCAACTTTGAAAAAAATGTTCAGGTGTACTTTCTCAAATACTGATAATGAAATTTAAAATTCATCAGAATTTGTCACCACATATTACATTATATACTACTACAACAACAACCTATCATTATAAGATTAAACTACACCCCTTTTTATATATCACTGATTCATTACAGATTTGTTAGCTTTAGGCTATTAAAGACATTGGCGTTGGAGCTGGGGTTTTTTCTTTTCACTATATCTTCTTCCCTACTTGTTTTTCCTCTTACTTGGAATGAGTATATCAATTAAGCTAGTGGATATAGTTAATGATATATTGTCATGTGTTAAATTTTGACGGACTTTACTGAATCTTTAATAACAGCTCATTTATTCAGATACACGTTCGTTTAATTTGCTTGAGGCAACATATCGGCATAGAACTTTATTCGTCTGTTGTAAACTGTCATAACCAGTTTTACATAATCTTATCAGCTAATTCGACTGACAATCAGTTGTCATATTATATGAAAGTTAGGTGTCAGTAAGAAGCTCAAGATCTGAGTATCGTGTCTACTGGCACTCATCAGTAAGGTATGTTCGGAACCTCCGTGCAAGTGATGCCCTCAAAGAAATCCAAATTCGTGTCACCCAATGCTACTGCCAGGGACTTCACCACTGGATAGGCCGAGCCCTAGAGTTGCTATTAAGGTCAATGGGAACTCCTCTGATTGTGAAATTGTGTGGAGCAGGTTGGAATGTTTAAGGAAACACCATTCCATCAGAGGTTGCAGACTTTCCATGCTGACTTGTGTCAGAAAGCAGAAAAGTTAGGCCTATAGCTTCTCATCTATTGCTTCTATTTTCTTTCTATACTTCCCTAATTGGAGTAACTGTGCGATTCACAGTTTACGAAACGAGCATTTAGATGCCTATCAACAAGGAATTGATGTTGCTGATGATATCAAAGTGGATGGCTGGTTTACCATTGAAAGCTGTCATAATAGAAACTGAACTCAGTGTTCATTTCTAACCACTCATAAACTATTTTAAAGTGAACCTTCTCTCTGAATTCAATTATGTTCAAAAGGCTGACAGTACTTTTATCCTAACTGAAACCACCTATTACCTAGCATTTCTTTTATGATAAACTTTTACAACACCGATGACATTCTAATCAATAACTAGCTGGTTTGTAGACAAAAACTGATTATTCTTCCTTTTATTCTCCATATTCTTAATACCCTTACCTACAAGATACAAAGAACCATTCGTATCAACAAAATACTGGTTGAATTTGGAAAATATCAACCGACGAAATTTAATCAGGTAACGGAATTGTGACATGCCTACCTCATGACATCTGAATGTTGAATTCAATTCAACAGAAAGTTATAGGCGCGCATTTTCTAGGAATCCTACTCTAAAACAAAGTAGATGGTCGATGCTGATATTTCGCCGTGACGATGATAACTTTGGAATGTTTGTGTGAAGAATTATATATATAACATGCTATTCAAATCAGACACTGTTTCTGCCTGCTGAATATACCTAGTCAGCTATATCGTTTAGGTATTTATTTACTGACAGAGTGACTCTTACGCTTTCGTATTCAGCCTATCAGTTACCATGGTACCACTATTATTATTATTATTATTATTATTCAACAAGAAACTTCTAGAGTTAATAACTCACTATATTTGTGTTCGGCTATACGTAGCAAAAAGAACCAGTTTACATTAATATTTAAGCGTGGGATTTCGCTAATATATCTGCACTATCTTCAGATCACCTATTATTCAAATTCCAGTATTATTATTCAAGTATAAAAATTTCAAATAAATAGGTGAAAAACAGATGGTAGTATGTGGAATAACACACGATTCCCGTGAATGAAGTTTAAAGATTTGCTGCTGAGTAACCCTTCATTATCCTTAATGTCCGTAAATCAAAACTGAATACGAACTAACCAAGGCAGTTCAGTCTCTGAATTTTGTTATCACTATATTGGGAAGAGAACATCTGTCAAATCCCACAAGAACCCATCATCTATACACTTCAGACAAATTCCACCTCATGGTACAGACGATAATTGGAATACCTTGGAAAAAGATGTTCCAGAAATCGATTGGGTTGAACAGCATATGCGCATCTTGAGCTTTAATTATAGTTAACTCTTTTTGAAAGCAAAAATGTACAAATACAGTAAAAGTACTTCGATTTAAAGCAAAGAATCAATTCATATATTTTTATACAATATGATAAACCCAGATAATTTCATCTAAAAACTTTTGAATAAAAATATTCTTTTAATATACAAGTACTTAATATTTCTAAAATGACTGGCATATCATCCTGGAAAATACACAATAGAAACTGATTACGGGAAGAAATCATAATAAATAAATATATATTCAAATGCAGTTATAAGGCGGCAACTGATGCATATATATGTATCTAATTGGGCATGTCCATCATACCGACATGAAATATTGAGCGAAAAGGTATATAAATAAACATGAGGAAGTATATTTATGTTATAATAACTAATTGAATATATAAATGTTCTCTATTCTGAGAATAGATCTCTAATAAAATGTTATCTAAAGCGTAAGTCTTACTTTATAAAGCAGAGATTCAAAAGTAATCAATAAAAACAGAAGGAATTATCTCTGTTGTGTGTGTGTACATCTGACACATCTGAAATATCACAGAAATGAGAAATCTGAGGCACACTGTATATCCTGGACAAAAAAATCAAACAGGATACAGTTGATTCTGTTTAGTCCTAAGAAAGGAAAGAAAAATCAAAGGAATTCATGTGAAGTATTCTGGAAAATTAAATTAGAGATATTCTGTCATCTGTGATTACGGATTAGATAATATAACCTTCTTTTTCATTGACGACGAAGATACACTGCTACTGTTATCTTCTCTAACAATACTGGTATTACTGGAATTCAGTCCAGACTTGATTATAATGTTTTTTTCACATACAGTTTGCTTCATTTGCTGATGCTGTTGAAGTTCTTCCATTTCGGCAATGGATTCATACACCCAATCAATAAACTGACGACGACAGGTTTCAGACGACATATTTAAACTAATGACTGGTCCACTTGAATTGCATAGTTGAACCCCGTATCGATAATCTGATAACAGAAAGAAACAGAAATGAAGCATTATATTATATTACTTGATATTACTATATAAGTGTGCCATAAAACTAAAATTAAAAACGTAACTGAGAGAATGTGATGTGTTCAGTACATTTCAATTATCCAAATCGCTTCAAATGAAGTGAGATTGGATTTACAGTCATTCAGTTTTACTCTAATTCATCTGTCTTGAAAGTGAATCCCAGTGATATAATTATTGTCCTATAGCCGATGAAATTTCAACATTGTTCAAAAATTATTTTACACATGTAACAATACCCAAAGGAATGAATTCATTTAAAAAGGTTTAATTTACGTCCATTTGGGGTAAAATCATAAAGCCAATCAAATATTTAGGCAATAGCACGCAATCATACTTTCAGTATATCTTTCATTCAAGTCGACTACCTAATTAATTTCTCGCAACGGGGTAGAAGCACATGGGGCTAAATGTATCAGTTAGTTCTTCACACTGATCCCTTTTCTTTCACAAGCTCTCCCCACTCATCACAAGACATCTTTTCCATTATTTCTACCACTCTACCTACTGAGTCAGAGGGTGGATTGACTTATTTCCTGTGTATTTGTTTATCTTTCTCAGACGATTTAAATCCAGTTTTCATGATTATTAGTGAAACAATTTTTTTGACACTCCATTACAGGAACTTAGCAGGGAGTCTTCCACACACATAAAAAAACATTTCTGTAGCAGTTTACCCTCACTGTTTGCGTGTGTAATCAGCAATTAGTTTCATTGCGACTGGAACAGAATAAACAATGATAATAATAATAGTCAATGAAAACAAGTAAATATAAGCAGTGATTTGAGCGAATTAAGCAGAATGAATCATGAAATTCCACGTTATACCTAGTCGAACAAGCCTAAAATTCACGTTTTTTCAAGGAATTTTCAGGGGAAAATTATTAAGAAGTATATACACCACATTTTAAGGCATTTATATATATATTCTCTAGGGTATACTGTCTACAGTGTAGGTGATTTTTAATTCAGTAGGTAAACTGTTAGTATAAGCTTTTCTCCTTTCGTATAGTAGCGAAAATTCACTAGAATATAGAAAATTACTGATATGAAACTTTCTCCACCCTGCATATATAACTACTTAAAAGTACTTCTGACTACAGACGATTTCAAAGTAAAGGTAATATAATATGACCTCAAGCAGACTGGGGATTCAGGTCACAGAATTTCCTAAGTGTTCTCAGAATAAATAAACGAATTCGATATACAACAGCTGGTTGACAAACCACTCTTTGGAACAATATCCAAAATTGTAGGCACAATTACTAGAGTGGGCATATGATGTGGGAGGTCTGTCAAACATTATTCTTCAATAAATGCGTAACCCAATAAAAATAATATTTAATACAATCAGTAAATATATGGAAAACTTACAGTTAGATTCAAAAACCAGTACACGTAGATCAAGAAACGGAAAAACATTGCGAACTTGGTAGGAGGTGTCACTGACAAATGGCTCTGTAGAACAGAATATTTTTTGTGCTACATCTTGCACCACACCGGAAGAACTGCGACTTCTGACATTTCCTGACTGATCTTTAGGATTTTGGTTACGAACACTAGATATGGAATTTCTTGGTGTGTAATGTCGGCTAACATTTTGATCACCCATAGCTACTGCAGCAGCTGTGTTCATGAGAGAATCTGACCTAAGCCGTGTTGAACTTAGTGACTTCACTACTAGTAAGATGTCATTGAATATCAGTAAATAACGCCATCGGGAATTATTTTTACTTGGCAATCGTCGGGGAGCAATTTTTTCGATTTGTTGTGCTAGTACTCTACCAATGAACCGGCGATGTCTTTGCACAAAATTATCTGTCTTCAAGGGCCCGACCAAAACTCCATCCAAAGCTCGCAGTCTGTCTGAGGGATCTGGTAGTGTTTTGAACTCGGATGCGGCTACACGGTCGTAAATGCCTTCTAGTAGATCTTTACTCACATCGTGGTTAGAATCTATTCCTCGGTTATTATTAATGAATCCTTGTTTAGTCATACGTTTCCCCATTTTTCCAACATTCGGATTGTGAAGATCAGTATGTAATAACAGGACTGAATAGGCCAAAACCTCTACTGTCTCTGAATTACGAAACAGTCTGTGAACACGATCTGGATTCTGATGTATGTACACTTCTTGAAATATTTGCATTAGATGGGCAATTTTTTGAGATTCACCCTAATGAAAGGAGGAACAAAAACTTCTGATCAACGGAGAAGAAACAATATCTGAAAATTCTAATTGATTGAAGTGCCAAAGAAATTCATCAACACTACCACTTTTATTCATGTATAGTATAAATTAATTTCAGCATACATAAATTTTTGTTAAAGCTGAAATATGTGATAACTTTCAGTCGGCACTCCTCATCATTAAAGTAGTGAACTTACCGATGGATGGAAATGACCGATGACTGAGCGCAAAGCATTGTCTACTTCCATTCCTTTCATATCGATCAGTAATAAAAATTCCCTGAAAGATAAATTGAAAACAGTGATTACTTAGATGAGGCAAGACAATTTGTTCACAACATTCCAAGATGAATTATTTCTTTCGATTGTTACTAAATTAATTCGAGTTTAGAGTTCACATTTCCACATAATCTATATTTTAAAGATAACATTACACTTCGTATAATTTCAGTCACTTTTATTTAGCAAGTTAAGGTGTCATTAAACGCTTTATTAAATGAGACACCTAGCGAATTGCCATCAAGAAACATATTTAAGGAGGATTTGAATCATTGGTGTGTTAAGCCTCTAATATCTACGGCTCTAACACTATAAACAAGGTTAAGGAGGCTAGTGAAGTATGTAATAAAACTTACTTTAAAACCTTAGTTGCCATTGGATTGTCCAAGAGACCAAAGTATTCTCCAATAGCTTGACGATTGAGATTTGGTTCATTCAGTAGAAAATGAGCAATTTTAGAAGGGTTGGATACTAAAGTATAATTTCTAATGAGGTAATTGATCCCCTCGACAGGATTCCTAAAGTCAAAAAAAAGGCACATTTTAATAAATGAAAGAAATTTCAGAAATTTGTAGCTGAATGAATTTCATCCGTAATTTTCGTAATTCACTGTGTAAAATAACCTAAGACTGTTCAGGCTAATATTCAGTAATTTGACTATCAACCCTTATGAATATTTTTCTTACTACTATTTCTTTATAAACCTTCTGATTAATTGCAAAAGAATACACACAGTACATCTACAAACCTTGACCACATTTATCTCGAATGACAGAGACAAGTGAAACAGTACTTTTAAAACTTCAAGTGAACTGATTGTATTTCTATTTACGGATATCTTGAAATCATATCTGCATAATCCTAATGAAATGAAGCACGCCTAATTTCAGTGCGTTAAATTATCGTAGTCTGACACTGAGGGGCTAATACTCTTATTTAGAAACTACTTCTACATTACGGAAAACCAAAAGTGTTCATGGACCCCATTCAACAACTGGCTATATAACAATGCCATATGTCAGCTGATCCACAATAGAAAACTCACCGAAGCTTCTGAAGTGAATACAGGAGTTAAACAAGGCTGTCTACTCTCTATCAACAACGATATTCCTAATTGCGGTAGACTGAATTAGGCAGCACAACGTGCGTGGGGAGGCAGCGAGAAGACGGAAACACGTTGGAGAACCGATAAGAAAACTTTAGAAGATAGGGATTTCGCGCGTGCATGATTTGTGTTTAGTGTCACATAAATTCGAAGACTTACAGGCGGAAATCAACGAATTGTCAGAAGACGAAGGCAGTGAAAGAAGACAGGACAGAAGACACATGAACACTGAGGAGATGGGGGTGATGAAGATAACCAACCAACAACAACACCAGCGACAACCAGGACCAATCGGTATCAATGGAAGAAATTTGAAGCAGGTTACTTCTTCCCTTCACCTATCTAGTAAACATTGTTTCAACTAAAGGCAGTGGGCAGATGAGGATGTGAATGCCAGACAACCAGAATCGGAACGGCAAGGCAGACTCATTCATCACGCTGAAAATTCAGTTTGGAAATCTACTCAACTCAGCCAATATGAACAACAAGATTCGGATTTGCAACACCAATATCAGGTCAGCCAATTCTTCTATGTGGGTGAGAGACTTGCACTGTGCATCACAAAGAGCATTCCCAACAGGCCACTGCAGACTTTTATCATCAACTGCCTTCTCCGACTGCATATTGAAGACCAAATGGCCAGTGAAAATAGAGCTAGCCACAAGAAACTCTGGAAATGATCGAGTCAACCGAGAACCTATTGTTCAACAGGTGTGTAGAAGAAAGTGGAGATGGATTGGACACGCACTGAGAGGACCGTTGAGTGAGATTGTGCGCCATACCATCTGTGGAGTGGAAGCTGAATGGGAAACAATGAGTTGGACAGGTTTCCGAGGGTAATATGGAAGAGATCGTGAGACAAAAGACTATGGGCAAACATGAGGGCAGCTAAAGCGGACCTCAGAGTGTAGGACAAAGTGGAATTGTACTATTTGGGATCTGTTCTACATGAAACCCAAGGGAATAATATTTACTCACCTATTGAATATTGTACAGCCCGCTAATAAAATACGTCTGTTATTCGCTCGCTTCATCGATTGGCGTAATGTAGTTGTCCAACGTGTTGCAGATGATATTTCTGTTGGATTATTATTCACTACTTTGGGTAAATAGTCTTCATTCTGACTTTCCATATCTATAGCATGAAGTGGTGCGCTTAACTGTGAAGAGAGACCAGAATCTTGGTCACTAGATCTATTCACTTCTGACTGAAGGTTTGTTGTTGGTACCCGACCTATTCCATCCTTCGAAGGAGTAGGTGGCTTCGAAGATACAGTTCCTAGAGTTGCTGAATTAAGAAATTCAGAAGGTATAGGTAGCCTCTGTCGACGCTTCATTGTGGGAGTATAAAATGTACTTAGAAGAGATTTACTAGATCCATTGCTTCTACCAACCGAATGACTCATGCTTGGAAAATCTGACACGATTGAACTGATACTGGAATAAGTGCCATTTTGATTTTGAGAATACGGACCATCAATTCCAGTGGGTGGAATAATAAACCAGGCATCACCCTGTTCAACAATACGTCCCACTGAACCAAAAGTTGGTTTGTTACCATTAGTATTTACATCAGGCTTTACAAGCTCTTCATTTTCCTTATTCAAAAGTGTAATGTTTTCAGACTTGACTTCTTTACTGCGAACAAGATTATCACAGTCAGTAGGTGGATCAACTTTTTGAATTGAAGAATCTCTAGATGCCTTGGTCTCTTGGGATTTAGATGTTCTAAAATTTACAAAGATTAACAGTAAATATACATGACTTCGTACAAAATTTCAAACGATCGATGAAAAAGGCTTTGTATGAGAATTAATTTAGACCTAGCTGCGACAATATTTAATAAATAACAAAGAATAAAACAGGGAAAATTCTAACAAAGACTCAGTATTTTTTTTTCAATATGTTTTCAAGAGCGGCTTTAATGTATAGGGAAGTTTTTACACCAGCTGCTCAAATATTTGAGTGGGCTGAGTCATTCATACTATTCCCCGTTAGATCTAATTTTGAATATTGAATGTGAGTGTTCAAAAAAGGGGGAAGAAATTTTCCACGTGGTGGTTTAGATCTGCATCATGCCCACTTGAAACATATGGTCTTTCTCCCTCATTCTGTCTCCCATTCTCACACTGTCTGTTTAGATTTCAACCGTCTGACCCTGTGTGATCGAAAAATAGGGTGGTAAGCTGACTATAATAAAAACTTAACCTTTATACAACACACCACCACTAAATAAAAGATTCAACATACACGTGCAGACAGAAACAATTTTTTTGGATTTTTGTTTGCAAAATCATATCTCATATTTTTCAGATCTGGGCTTTATGTGATCCACTTATATTGTTTCAATACAGACACTAAAAACTGGTGAGTCATGAGGTCACATAGTAAGATCATGACCTTGAAGCCTATAACTCAAAGCTTAGATTTACATTGAATGTACGGTAGGATGCAAAATAACTTTTTCCCAAGTAAACGCAAATTACTGAAACTGAAATATTCCTTTCAAGAGGAGGTACATTCGATACACTTTTTATTATCAACTATGGAGACTACATTTATGGATTTAGGGTGAATGAGATTTGTTGGGAAAAATAACTGGGGCTCAGAAAAACTTGCATAATTACATAACCTAGTGTAAAAAAGAATTAAATGATATGCATATAATTCAGTTAGATTTTTTTCCGTCGACTGATTGGACAGAAGTGCGCGGTCTCAGGTTGACAAGTCGGCTCCTTGTATAGATACTTCGACGATGTCTGATCAGGATTTCCTCATGAGCTGACAGTAGTTAGAGAACCATTGGAAAACCTGGGAGTACTGGACAGCTGTTTCGTCCTAGTTTGGGATTCTTCAGCAGTACGCACCCGCCGGGATTCGAACCCAGGACCTTCCGGTTACAAGGCGAGCTCGTATACCATTAAGCCACTGTCTGATCACATAACTTATAAAAATCATGCATTTATTCCCCTTGATGAATTTGAATAAAGCAAGAACAACAGTAGTTTGTGCAGAATAATAAGTTACTATCAGTTACTTCGTTGGCTTCTCATCAGTTGCCTGCAGCCTAAATAAATTATGAAGTTTATATATACCTTATATTATACCTTATTGTTCTGCACAAACTGCTGTTGTTCTTGCTTTATTCAAACTTTGAGACAATTGGTGACTAACTATGGAATCCATGGTGTGCATTTCGTCCTATTGGGGGCTCATCATCTGGCGTATAATTAAGGAAAATCTGTAGATACTTTGAAAAGACTAAAGAAATTTAATTATCACAAGTGTTTAATCTGTAATAGGCATACAATAATGAATACTAATTCAAAAATGCTGGTTTAGTCGTGCATCATTTCCAAGACATAGTAAAGCGAATAACGAAAAAACTATTAAGTCAATTTTAATTGTAAACTGGTCTAATCAAAACTTATATCAAATAGTCCTAAGGACATTAGAAGTTAAACACACTCTAGATTTAATTAAATGAGCTGGATAGGTACGCTTTATACAACATAGTGCAAATTATGACTTACATTACAGTATCTCTGGCAAGACGTCTATGTCTTAAAAGACTTCGTCGTGATTTAAACATTCTAGTATTTGGTGTAATGCTTTTTTGACCTATAGGTGTATCCTTTACGGTATTTTCTACTGGTGCATCAATGGATAACTTATTCGAGTCGATGGGGACCGATAATGCACAAGTAGTTGTTGGAGGTGAATGTGGCAGTGATCTCCTTGGATGTTTAACATTTTTCTCAAACCATCTTGTCAAACTGCTCTTCCGTTTTGTGCACATAGTTGAGTTTCTTTGAACTGTCTCAAGTCGTCTATTTGACAAACAATTAGCAGTTCCTCCAGCTAATGTATTTTCCTTTACTTCAGGTACCTCTTCACTTGTTTGAGGATCTTCTTGCAAACATAGTGGTGACATATCTCTGTTGATCATTGAGGATTTCCGTCTTTTCCATGTGCTGAAATCTAACTGTGAATTATTTTTCTTTTCTGCTCCATTCAGACTATCAGTTAATGTTTGCTCTGAAGGAAGCAGATTCATGCTGATTCGCCTCATAAATCGTGTTAATTTTGATGAAGGTACTTGTGCTTTCAAGTCAGTATTCACCGATGTACTTTGATTTAAATCTCCACTTTGCACATGACTTGCGTTTAAGTTAACATTAATATCACGTTTAGTAGCGAGAACTGGATGTGGGGTAGGACGTATGGATGTGAACCTCGATCGTCGTCTGGGTCTGTCTGTCGTAAGTGGTTTTAAAGCATTCAGTAATGTTGGCGGTGATGAATCCATTTTGATAAAATATGATCAGTATAAAAATAATCTTGCTGCCAACAGCATACAAATTATTCAAGAGAGAAAACCTTTCCTTTTAATCGGATCATCCTTTTAATACTTCTGGCAAGCAAAGAAAAATCAACCAATCAAATGCCTTGGGGATTTTAGGTGTCACGGACCAATCAAAATTGAGAAGACCAAAATGTGTCCACGCGACAAATCGACTCGTGAATTTTTAATGATGGAAAACACCAATAGGTTAAAATAATTAGCTTGTTTTTGGTGTTACAAATAAACTTGCATAATGCCGAATTTAATTTGTTGACTGAATCTGACATGTAATTTATAAGTATGACAGAGTATCTTTCGGATAAAAAGCAGGCAGTCTGCACCAAACAAAGGACTAGACACATCACACTAGTTGCTGACTAGTGTCCAGTCAAAAAAAATATCCAATACAGTCCTACAGGAGGTCAGTCGTCAGCCCGAATAACTCAGTGGTAACGTCTCTGACTGCAGTACTCACTAGGTGATGCGGGTTCGAATCTCAGAAACGACATGAGTTCCTTGAAGGCTGCAGATACACCTTGCTGCTAGTGAGTGCCAACTAGCACGAAACCTAGGTCAGTGGAGGCTTCCTGCCGGTTGCCTCCAACCATCTAACATCAATGTGGAAAATTTAATTTAGCATGATTCAGTAGGGATGGTAATATTAATAAACTATTGGTACTGTCAGTTTCATTGGAATTTTGGTCCGGCTTCAACGTATACAATATGTTGTTATTAATCTTACCTCATCTTCCTGTTAAGAAAATAAAAATCCCTCACTAGTGATGAAAAGACGTTTGTTCCCCCTATATTTAACCAAGGTTACTAGCAGTACCAATGCGCTCAATCATGGTGTTAGGACTACAATTTAAGCGACTCAGACATAAGGCCTCGTATATAAAGTATATATGCCCACCGGTAATATCAGGAAAAGTTTTTTACGAATAAAATATTCATCTCATAGAAAGGGTGACCAACAGTTTCTGAAGCTGTAAGCAAACAGGTTTTCTTTAGTCAGACAATATGGCAATCAACGTAAGTTGAGTTTCATTAAGTGAAGTATCCATATTATATTACATTATTATTATTCATATTATTCGAAACAGTCTTGCCTGGCCATTCATTCCGTTTGTGACTGAGTGAATGATGTTAAACCCTTCAGTGAACAGTGTTAAAACCTTCCAAATATAACAGCAGTTTAAAGATCACTAAAATAATAAGAAATAAATGAATACACTTGGAGTGGGAAATTAGTTATAGAATAATACGATTTTTAGTATTTGGACGAAGTAAAGAGAAAATTCTTCCATATAGGGGAAGTTAACCATTGGTCAGCTTCTACTACAATCAGAACTCCACTTAGAATTGTCATGGTTACAAAAACAACTTAGGCTACCTTCGCATATCTCACTGATACCAACACTAGAAATCAAGGTATGTAACTGTAAAATCTGAGCAGTGAAACATAAACCTTCATGCAATTGGTGGGTGGTGGCTAGCAGTGGAATCCAGGATCAAAAATTCAATTCAATAATAATAAACCTTCATGCTTTAAGCTTTGAGTTTCAATGACGGCAGAATTGTCTTAACGGGATGGGATTTCCAATCGCCTTCTCCACCTCCTCTCTACTACCAGCTAGGTGTGGTTCAGTAGTGCATTTGCCTTTGACCGAAGCCAGACCTCCTGCGTGGTTGGTAAGTATTTCACTGTTGAAACACTGACACCTAATAGATTAACCAAGTGATATATTTATTCCCTGAGTTAAAACTTCCTAAAATAATAGAAGAATTCAATAGACTACCTATAGACTAACACTAATGAAAATATCGGAAATTGGTCTATACATTTAAAGAAGACAAAAGTTTTGAGGTCGTCAGTAAGATTTCACTCACTTTCAAAATTTATATAAAAAATCGAACAAATTACACAGTAGTGGGATGAGAAATAGTATTCATCCCTATGAATCATTTCAGTATGTAGGTTACATATGCACAAGTATATACTAATCGAAGTGTGTTAAAATGTCATTAAAAAAACCATTAATGAATTGTTTATTTAAATGATTAACAGACTAATTAAAGCATGACAGGTATTTTGTTTTTACAGGAGCAATAAAAATGTCCAGCTTCCAGTTTTTGGACATGTTTATTTCTCCATGAGGTTGCATTTTATGTGTCCGTATGAATGTGTACAAGTCTACGTGTATGTGTGAGTATAAATCACTTACAAATATACATACGTATATATTTATGAGTTAGATTTGAAAATGAGGTCAACAAAGTAAACAATTTGATGTGGACATAGATGAATAATGATGCCTTTAAAATGAACTGTGCATCATTATCACTCTTGACAAGTTAACCATTAATATGGTTTTATAGTATG